AAAAAAACTCAGATGTTACCATCACCTGTGATCGGCCTTTTTTCCATCTTACGTGCTTTTGCCAGAACATCGCCTTCATAGGAAAAGAGGATTTTACTATAACTCCAGATGCGAATGTGGAATTTCACAAATGCAGTTTTCGGAACTGTACATCAATGAAACCGGTGTTGTCAGTTGCTGGATCAGCAAAGTTCGTTGAATGCACAGTTAAGGACAGTAGAGGAAGTGGAATAGGCGCACAAGGACTTAACTCATCGGTTACACTGATTAAATGTGAAATCAGTAAAATCAGTGGAAACGGAAACAAGGAAAACGGATACGCATATGGAATAAGGGTGTTTGATAAAGGGCGTTTATTAGCTCATGAATGCCGGATATATGGCAATGTCAGGGGAATTTGGCTTGACGAAGGTCCAATGTTTGGTCCTGGTACTCAAGCAGATGGAGCAATAATAACAGATTGTGAGATTTATGACAATAAATACGAAGGCGTTGTGGTAGGTGGCGTTTCGTGGCGTTCGCATGAACTTCCCGTTGTTGTTATGCGTGGGAACAAGATTTATCACAATGGCACATTTGGTGTTCGCTCGACCTTTAATATCAACAACATTCTGTTTGAAAACAATACGGTGTTTGAAAACCTTTGGTGGGGAGTTTGTGTTCACAACAACTCGGGCGGTGTCTATAAAGACAATGAGATTTGTAACAACAAAATGGGCGGTATAATGGTGGGACCCCAAGCTCCTGGAAAGCCCCCTTGTGTAGTAGTAAAAAACTTTATCCATGACAATTGTGGGCCAGCTTATCGTGGAAGACTTCGTTTCGCCGAACGTGATTCTTTTCCAGTGGAGTTACAAACTCATTTTAATCGCATAAAACAAGAACGTACTCAAAAACCATGGTTAAATTATAATGTATCTTTTCCCGGCATGGTAATGGCAGAATTGAGCTCCAACCATTGTTTTGAAAATGATCACGCGCAGAAACCTGTCAAGACGGAAACCATGAAGGCGCACTGTGCCTTTTGCTTTCGACACGATTCTGACATGAAATCGTGCACGGGCTGTATGACAGCAAAGTACTGCGGCAAGAATTGCCAAACTTTGCACTGGAAAAAGCATAAGCACACATGCAAAGCTACTGGACAAAGGAACTCTGTGGAAGTAGAAATACCCTTTTTAGCGCCGGATACTATCATTGAATTAACGACTCATCCAAGCTTACAACCTGGTGGTCCCAACTATTGTTCTCCTCCTCCGAGGGATGGGAGTCGTTTTATTGTAAAGATACAAACCTTCGAAGAAGGTTTTTTTGGAGACATTATAGATATGAGGGGGTTCGTAAGTGATGAACAAGACCCATATAAAGCTCGGATGAGGCTTTACGATCGTAGCCGTCATGTCTTATTTGAATTTAGCGGTAAACCACAACTCTATCATTTAATAACGGAGTGCGGAGTTATCGGAAAGATGTGTAATCTCACAAAGAAACTGTACTGTTGGGCAGCATTTAAAGATGCCAAAACTGTTCGAATTTTTACTCACGAACTTCCAGAATTGCAAGAGTGGTGATAAGTAAATAATAAACACTTAATGACTGGCCCCGAGGGAAACATTTTAATTTTGTTTCCCGAAAATGTCAATGAAAAACAAAATTAACTGTTTGACGAGGGACCAGTCTTTAAGTGATTTGTTATGTTGCTGGATATTCCTTCAACCTCGGTGTAACGGCGGTCGTCAGTCAACATTCGCGGGGAACAGTACACTGTTACCTCCTGACAACGTAAATTTTGCAATGTTGCCCACTCAGAGATTTTGGAGGGACACATTTTCATTGCTAGAGGTCATGTGACCTCGAAGTAACCCATAAGAGCGCACACTGTTGGGAAAAAAATTCCAGCAGTATAACAATTCAAAATAGGTTACTGCCTACGCAAAGGCGTGCCGGCGTAAGAACTGTCTACTTAAAGGGACTGGGTCACGACAGTCCAGACCATTTTGTCAAGAAGTATTGCCGATACGGAGATATGGAGCTTGACGCTAGCGAAAAACAAAATTGTGAGTGAAAAAGTCACAGCTTCGTGATAAAGGAATTAGTCTCCCGAGTATTATACTTGAAGTTACATAAACAGAGATAAACTTCAACATTTGTTAGGCTAAACAGTTTTCAAATAATCTAACTGCAATCCGATTTAATCTTCTTCAGTTTTTGTCTACCGTGCCCTCTTTTGTATTTCCCATATTATTTAAAATCATACTTCAATGTTAAGCGGTTACTTACGTGAGCACTTCCCATGTTTGGTGGCTGAATCAGTGGCTAAATTCTCGTGACACACTCCTTTAAGACGGGTAACTTAATATAAAATCAACAAAGTAGCGTTTTCATTTGACCTAACTTACCTTTTTACTAGTTTCTGATAGGTCCCTTCAACAAGAAAATATTTCTTTGTATATCAGTCGAGGGGTGCTTGAAAGTGGCGCAGTTTGAGAAAAAAAAAACAAATCAGTATTAAAAACGCCCAGCAATTAGAACTTTAGCATTAGGAACTTTAAAACTTAAGAACTTTAAAAACCTTCTTTCATCGCATTCCAAAGTACCGTAAAATTCCGAAAATAAGCCCCTCCAACTATAAGCCCCTCCAATTATAAGCCCCCCACTCCCGTAACGCAAAAAGCCCTCCGTTAATTCGCCCCTCCGAATATAAGCCCCCCGGGCTTGTACTTAGAAAATTGTCCTCAAATACAAAGTAAAACAAAGCAAAAACGGAAAATTTTCTTCCAACTTTGAGCTAGCCCGATCGATTTTGAAATGCAAATTCCCCTCCGTATATAAGCGCCTCAAAAAGGGCCGTTGAAAAATATAAGCCCCGGGGCTTATTCTCGGAATTTTACAGTATATTGTTTTAACTCACAAAATAACTAAGGCCCGGTTCCGACGCCGAGCCAAACCTTATTCGAATTAGGGCCGACCCAAATTATTTAGACCGGCTGAATTGATTCTGACGCTGATCTTAATTCCAACCGAACTAAATTCAGAAGGAGAAAAATGCGCATCATCGGTCAAACTGCTTACAAAATACCTTATAAGAATTTATGCATTAGGTTCGGTACATGAAAAGTTCGGCGTGTGATAATTGATGATGATGATAAAAGCATGTGGAATTGTCACACGAGACGAGCAGCTTACCCACTAACCCAATTGCGTTGATTTTGTTTGCTTCACCCTTCTTCTCAGTTGGCGTTATTTCTCACGTGTAGAATTCCCGCCTTTCACCTTGATGGAATTGACCTTGCGTTATTCCCCGGGGGCGGGGAGTATGGGAGCTTTTGTGAACATTAAACTGAGGAGCATTTATAAATCGATCACGATAGTCTGGATCAAAGTAACCTCCAACAGAGCGAGTATGGCGATCGTGAAAAACGGCAAGCAGACGAATAAAAGCCAGTCTCGGGGCGATCAGAGTTCATTGTTAATTTTCGTTTCTCTGAAGTCGGAGGCGGTAATTTTCGCGCGTTGATGACCGCGCGCCCAGACGAACGAGGCCATTAAGGAAACCGGTGATTTGTGCGCCGATCGTCTCCATCGACGACCCAGGGATGGTCAAGACGCTCCCCCAACCTAATAACATCAAAACCTGGCTTAACCCAACGCACTTTTCAAGGAGAATTGTTGCTTTTTAATGTACTAATATAGTCAGTGGACATCTCCGCACCCCCTTTTCGGGGAATAGTGGGGCAGTAGATCAGGCGAATCTTTAGTGGAACAAATTCCCAGTCATGAAGAGCAATCTCCTACGTAAAAACGTCACTTTTGTTCCCCTCCCCCGTGGTAACAGAGTACTTCAAAAATCGTAAATGTACAATGTTGATCAAATTTTATATCCTTTAGAATTTTGCCTCAAATTGAACATTTACAAAGACAGAAGTAGAAGCAACAATGCTGTCCATTTCTAACACAGCCAGAATTGTAAGGTTGAGAAATAAATCCTCCTTGAGTTACAGAACTGGCATTCCAAACTTTTCACCTCTCCGGGCGATTATGATTAAATGAACCACAACATATACGCCCACCCAGAACAAAAATTCCAGTTATTTCCCGTTGGAAGCAAGTTTTATGTGCTCCTGTTCCCGTACCAGATCTATTCAAGATGGTGTCAAATACGAATCTCCGTCTAAGCCCCGCTAAAGGTCCTCGCTCGCTGGTACTTACACCTAAATACTATCGGACCCCTCATACCGGGACAAAAGTGGCACTCTAAAACCGCTGAAGTCTCCCGCTAATACCCCAAATCCCACGGGTAGGGGGTTGCGGGGCTTTACTGGTGCATAAATGACCAAGGAAAACCTTGTCAAGGATAGATGTGACAATCGCTCTACTCCTTCTCAGAAACCATGATTCCAGTACTCCAAGATTCCAATGCACGTATTTTGAAATATTGAAATCCTTTGTTCACCAATTTGGCACACTTGCAATAAAATGAGTTAGCCATAACTCAGCAAGAAAAGCATCAACGACGAAACTCAAATATGTCTCATTCTAAACGCTACTAGATATCGTAACTGAATGGACGCCAGGAGAATCTCCAAGCCGTACATATAATTTTGTTTCTTTTCAGTTTGAGGGCTTTGTGGTTGATCTATTTTTTGAAAAGTATTATTCAATAAATAGAAAGTTATTTGTATTTTGCATTTTGGGGGGGCCTAACGGACAGCCTCAATAACAAAAGCTCTTTCTTGCTACGGCATTTATGATATCTATGAAATGCCTTGTTATGTTGCTGTTGATGTCGATAAAAATAATTAAAAAGAATATTGATTTTTCATTGAACAATAAACACAAAATTCCTTCTCTAAGCTCCTCTGTCACAAATCCCCGACAGCAGATATTTATCAATGCATGATATTGACGAATAAGTGTCAATATGCTGGAAGAAGATTGACATGCTATCGTGTATCGTACATAAGGTTAATCGAAAAATCAATATTCAGTGAACAGTCACGCGATCACAGTCGGTGGTGCACGTTCCACGATCAAGCTCACTGTGGTAGTTACTCTGGACGTTCACAAATAATCTATAACCTTCTGAGAACAAGAAGCAGGTTAGTCCTAAAACAAAACAACGATAGAAACGAAATAATAAATCTGTTTTTACTCATATCTTGGCAGTTTTGACGGGGATTTCATTGTTAGTCAGGCCATAATGAATCGAGCGATCGATGGTCTCAGAGTACTGGTTTTAAATAGTCAGAGTTATAATTATTCGTTGTTTATTTCTAGGCTCATGAAGCCAGAACGTCCGCTCATCCCTTAAAAACCTCGAACTTAAAGTTAATAGGGCACTTTTTATATTTTGTTTTATTGTTTTATCTGTGTGTTAAAATACACATATTTTCTTGCGATCTCTGCAGTGGCCAAGCGCGTACACAGGCAAATATTCTTACATTTTTTTTCTAAAACCTTTAGAAACGCAAACAGAAGGTCATAGAGAGAAGACGTCACTGGTTATAAGGCGCTTACTGAAGGATCTTACATCGGGAGGAACAAATATAGCACGATCCGTAAAGGTATGCGTTCTAGATCTTTGGCCTAAAATAACGTGCACTCGAGAATTTTAAAAATATGTCGTCAATGTAGATTAGATGTTGAACAGTCACGAAAAAAGAAATGCTCGCAATAGCGTGAAATACTCATAGCAATAATAATAAACAGTTCAATAGGAAATCCAAAACGCGTCCAGTACTTAACAGTTATTGGACGAGGTTGAGCAAAATATCGTGATTTGTCAGTGGCGAGTTGCCTAGTCCCTGTAAGGCGTTTTCCCAGTCTCTATTGGTCAATTCACTTCGGTGACGTGTCGGAGGCGAACGGACGGGATACATGTTCGCTTGGACCACGTGACCCGGAACGCTTTGGCCGCGCGGCCGGAATAATGAGCGAAGCGAAGCGATCTGCCATTTTCACACGAGAGCGATCGCAAGAAGGAGAAAAAGCGTGGTTTCGTTTACGCATACGCAGAATATTATTTGCAGCCAGACACTTATTTGCAGCCACGACGTTGCGCATGAGCAGACCATTATTAGACCAGCTTTTAGCATAATTTTGATGGCAATAATGGGACTTTGTACTTTTTATTGTCTTACCTAGCATTTATATTGTTTAGTATAGTTTTAATTTAGTGACAGGCCTCGTCTGAAAACCACCCGTGGTAAGCAGTTATTTGCGGGTCACGTGGTGGGCTCTCAGCCAATGAAAAGAAAGAAAAATGAATGATGATTAAACTTTCCTCGTTTTGATACTTTTGTGGTTAAAAAGAATGTTCCAAGTTGTATTGAGCAACCAATACCTTTTGCTGTTGGAATATTGGAAACGGGGATTAAGGACAGAGCGGTAGGGACTGCGGATCAATGATAGGTTTCAGTTTTGTCGCATTGGAATGTCTTGTTTTATTTGAAATTTGGGGCCTTTACGTACATACCTCACGATCTAACAAAAAAAAAACGTTAAAGTGGCGAGGATGTCTCGAGGATATTGCTACGCTGAAGTCATAATCTTAGCCTGTTTGTCCTGTTTCAAACGTCGTGCTGCCGCGGCTGTCGTTTTAAGCGGGCTCGACTTCAGCACGACTCTAGCACGAATGTATCGAATTTAACTCAGTCGAATAAAAGAGCTGTTGCACAAAACAAAATTTAAAAATAAAAGGCGGTTTAGTGAAGTCCTGAGTAAATATAGTATTCTAATGTATTTATAATAAATTTATGAATTGAGTTCGGTATGGCAGTAGCACAATGTTTGAAACCGAGTCGTTCTACTGCCGTGTGGCACGGCAAAGTGCTTAAGTCGAATTTAATTCCATTAATTGAGTTCGGCACAGCAGTAGCACAGCGTTTGAAACAGGAATTAGTCATACAACTTTAGCCATACACAAAATACTCTTGTGGAGTTGTGAAGAAGTTATGAAACAAATTACACCAGGGACAACTACCCATAATATTGTCTTTGGTGACTTTTGCAGGTATGACATATAAACCTCAAAAACGTTGGGTTTCAATCCATGTCCATCTTTGCCATCTGTAGCCACAAATGATAGGAAACAGTCGATGCCTAAATATAGTCTCAGATGAAAAACTTGAACCGTTTAGAATTCGAGTGATGCGCAGACACGTTTTACCTTTCCAAGGAGAGAGCAAATAGCGTTCCATAGCTCCTTTAATAGTAGACTCCTTAATGGTAAAACGGCAAAATACTCGCACAGCTGTTTTGGTCGGACGCAATGATTATTCGTGAAAACAATCTCATAACGGATCACTTCAAGCCATTAAGCCCTTCGTGATATAAATAAGAATTTCAAGAACAATATTGACTGATTACTTTTATACCGGACTTTTGCCACCCTTCTAGATCCAACCTGTCCCTTTCTGAGAAATAAAGAAACAACAAATGAACACGAGAGACAAACATCCTAAAGAAGGTCTGGGGACGACAAAAGAACCAGACATCGAAGATTTTAAAACTACCGAAAATCAAACGAAGAGTACAGTAGCTGCTTTAAAAGGTAACGGTCATTTTGAAGATGGACGTTTTAAAGAGGCGGTCAAATTATACACAGAAGCTCTTGAGGCAAGCAAAGAGGCCCAAAATCAAGACCCGCGGTTGCTTATCAATCGAGCAACTGCTCTCCTTAGACTAGGAAAATATGAAGAATGTCTTCAAGATTCCGATGAGTATATCCGCATGCTGCCAAACTGCTGGAAAGGACACATAAGGAAAGCATTGGCTCTAAAGGGGCTCAGAAAGGCACTCCTGTCTGCATGCTCTGCAGCCATTGCATACTACCACGACGCCGATCGTTGTCGAAGATATGAAGCCTTCCATAACGCTTTTAAAGATACAGAGAACATCTGGGCGGCGATAGGCTCTTCTGAATCCTTGAGGAATACTTTAACACGAAATGATAATCCATTTGCAAAAAAGAAAATTCTTTTGTTGCAAGGTGCAAAGTATGAGGTAAGCCAAGTTCCACGGCTCAAGCTGTACATCAGTCTGGTTGCTCTAACAAAAGACCAACCTGCTATGTTCAGGACTGAATTACTTTACATCAGCAGCAATTGCTGTTTTGAGAACATTAACTTTGAAACGAAAGATGGTGTGCTCGTTCCGCCTGGAGTGAAGGCAGAATTTGATCGATGCAAGTTTCAGTGCGCTTCATCTGAAAAACCGGCCATTCAAGTCGGAGGGACAGCTTCTTTCGTTAAGTGTGAAATAAGCAACAGCAAAGGTGGTGGAATAATAGTGGGTGGGGGACCAAACGCTCTGGCTTCTTTCACAAAATGCCGCGTTTTTGGAAACGGAGCCACGCCTAGATATTCGTCCGGTATAAGAGTTTACGAGAATGGGACTGCAGTTGTCCAGGACTGTGTAATTTACGGAAACTCAGAAGGAATACACATCTATGGAAGCCCACAATACGTCTTGCCCAAGGAAGTCAAAGTAACTGGGTGTGAAATTTATGACAACAAATTCGAGGGTATTATCGTGGTTGGTGCTCCGAATGCGCTCGCTTCATCCGTGACAATCCAAGAGAACAAGATCTACCAGAATGGTGGATATGGTGTTCGCGTATCACTTTGTGTCAATGATCTACTTTTTCAAAGGAATATAGTATTTGAAAATGCCTGGTGGGGAATTTGGGTGCAGTGCAACTCGGGTGGCAAGTACAGAGGTAACCAGATTTGTAACAATAAGATGGGCGGATTAAGAGCTGGCAAGCAAAGCCCAGAAAAGATAGCCTGTGTAGTGGAGAATAACGTTATCCATGACAACGGTGGGCCGGCCTTTCACGAAGAATTGCGATATTTCGAAGGATATGCGTTCCCGGTTCAGTTGCAAGACATCATTGAAAGACAGTATGTAGAAAAACACATGAAACTGTTCGGATTCCGTGAAGGAGTGGAATTGCCCATGGGATCAGATGTTCCTCTTCCCGTCATGGTAACAGCAAGTTTTAAGTCCAACAATCAGTGTTTCCAGAACGGAATTGAGCGAGACCAATCGAGACAGTCCACATGCAAGTCAAAGTGTTCCTTTTGCTTTCGATTAGATGTGGAGTTAGAGTTTTGTGATCATTGCGGTGTAACCATGTATTGTGGAAAGGAATGCCAGGCATTGCATTGGAAAAGGCACAAGTACGTCTGTCAAGCTGCTGGTCAAAGAAATTTCATCGACGTTTGCATCCCGATAGATCAGCCGCCTCCCATTCATTCCCGCGTTTCTTCACTTCATCCAGGTCTTGAGTCCACAAACCCAACCTCTGCATCTCCTCCGCCTAAAGATGGAGGGCGTTTCATTGTAAAATTACAAACACACGATGGATGCGTGAATGCCCAAACATTTGACTCCAAAGGATACACCAGCAATGATTTCGATCCACAAAAGGCCACCGTAATTGTGTACGATCACAGCCGTTCTGTCGAGTTCGAAATTTCGGATAGACCCAAAATTTATTATTTAATTCTCGAGTATGGAATTCTGGGAGCTAGCCTGTACCTCAGCAAGAAATTGTATTGCTGGGCAGCTTTCAAAGACGATGAAACGCTTCGAATTTTTACTCGTGACTTTCCAGCAGCACAGAACTGGTAATAATCTGTAGAGTGCTGGCCTGAGAAACAGCCGCCATTTCGCGATGCCAACACTGCACTACCCAGATCTTGGTACTGACGCGTCATCAGTAAGGAATTTCTGCGCTCGTTCCTCAGACGTTATTTCGCGGGCAAACCAGTGGTGACGTCGCGAAATGTGGGCTGTTTTCTTATGTAGTAGAGCAGTTGGGTTCTGGAATCTTTACGCCACGTCGTGATCTCTAGAGGTGAAGAAGAAACATTTAAGGATTATTTTGAGATTAAAAGCTTCCATAAAGGTTAAGACACATTATGGCCTTTAAACTTATAATTCCATATATATTTGTTAGTTGTTAGAGGCACACAACATGTAGTTGCGTGCACTCTTTTATATAATTATTTTGTACACAGGTCAAACGGTTTTAAACTCTCGCATAACGTAAGCCGTGAATGCGTTGTTAAAGTGAAGCAGTAATGACACACTTCCTGCTTGTTTCTTTGATAACATTGAGCGCCTATCAATGGGCAAATAGAAGGTCTCTTGTTCTTTAAAAGTGCAAAAAAAAAATGATTATGCTTCGACAATTCACTTCCCAAGTTCCCTTTTACCATTTCAGTGGTAAGTGCGGATAGGTTTTAGCGCGTTCCCTCATCAAACATGCAAATGAACTCATTCATTGGCTATCGTGGAAAAATCGGGTAATCGTGAGGAATCGATTAAGTAAAAGCGATTGTAAAAATTAAAGCTTCCTCCACGGAAGTGTGCCTCAATATAGCTGCATCATTCATTAAACGTGTCAACCACGAAACAAAGACTAAGTCGGTTGACATCCTCTTTGAAAAAAAAAGCTGAAGAAAACAAGGCTACAATAAAAGGCTTCCCCGAGTGGTAAGTGACTACATACAAGGAACAATTGTTAAATATTATTTGGTCGTGTTTAACCTTAGACTGTTACTTTGCAACCGAACTGCCTTAAAAATGTCAGCCTGAGTGTCAGGCCTTCCTTGGGGTCTGAAACGCTTAATATTAAGGCTATAAAATATATTCATACAGTTAGAAAAGTCGCTCTGTTTCCCTTCGCTGCGGTTCCAACCACTTTCCTATTTTAAGCTTGCATCGCAAATAAATAAAGAAAGGAAGAAGTAAGTAAATAAATTACTTCTATTTATTCTCGGCAAAGTTTATGGCATAAGGGCTACTACAGACTGTAAAACGCACGCACGAGGGAGAGAAAAACCGACAATTCTAGGGCCACTAGGATCGAAACAATAAATACATTGTCAGGAGCCCATACTCACCCGGACATTGCAAATCAATTAAACGTGAAAAAGTTTAAGGGATGGTACAGGCGTGGCCGAGGAACTTAACACCGATACTGATAGCTTCCCTATATGTATCTCTACATGTCTCTCGAGAAAAGGAGAGGGTCCTTTCTCCGCCTCTCTCCTCAAAACAACAAACAAACAGGCGCAGACAAAGTAAAATAAAATAAACCGGAGTGCAGGTTAGACGACCACTCCAGTGACATCCCAGCCAGTGATTACCCCGGCAATAAGCGATACGAACAACCCAAGCCATCCTCTAAGTCTTCAGTATATGGCCTGTAAGCCATATACTTTGCTTAGTGAAAGTACTGTACTGTACTTCAGCACTAAAATTAATCCGCCGATTTCCATTTTAACAGATATTTAAACAAACATATTGCTTCAATACTATCTGAACGTTTGAGCTCATTTTTTGAATCTGTGCGGAATATTCACATTGCTGAGAACCATTAAAAACCTAGAGTTGGTCCCTGCCTTTCTTCACTCCCTTTATTTGACTCTCCATAAGATGGACATCTCTCAAAGACGGACACTTTGTGCCGGTCCCAAAGGTGTCCGTTTTAAAGAGAGAGTTGACTGTAAGCTTTGTGTTTGCTTTAACAAAACTGTTTAATAGCGCCTTAAGCCAAATACTTTGCTTAGTGAAAGAACTGTACTTCAGGACTAAAATTAATCCGCCTACTTCCATTGTAACAGAATGTATTGAAACAAACATATTGCTACAATACTGTCTGGACGTTTGAGCTCATTTTCTGAACCCGTGCAAAATATTCACAATGCTGAGAACTACGAAAAATTGAGTGAAGTTGTTTCAATGAAATTTTTACAAGACACGATTTAAGTGCGGTTATTTTTCCATCTCGATCGAATAGTTACAATGGCTATGAGTGAGGACGTATGTGAGGAAGTGAGAAAGTACCGTTTCTTACAAATTCCGCGACAAAGCAGCTGATTATGAACCGCATGATTGGCTGTATTCTTAATAATCGGGTAATTTATAAAAAAAAAAAATGGGCAAAATACTGCCAAGTCCAGGTTTTAACTCGGAGTTAATAAATTATGGCTGAAGCATGGGTAATCAGGGCTAAAACTGAAGTACTGGCTCCACTTAACACGAAAATAAAGGCTAAGAATTAAATATAAACGAAAACTTTCCAAGTTAGTCATTCTATAGGGTCATTTCATTATACTCTTGAGAATACTCAGGCTTAACAGTTTCATTTTTAATAGTGGCGATCAAATTTTAAATTCTAAGAAATAACTGGGACAATGCAAAAGTTCTGCCAAGAGGTGCATTTAACCAGTAACACTATAGCATTTTGTCCACAGCTTTTAACATTTAGGCTACTTCCCCGACACCGGATACCTACCTACTTCCCGGATAGCTATTGCGCCGGCACGAAAATACTGGATAGGGCTTTTGTTCACTCATAAGAACTGTGATTTCGGCGCGATTTCTGTGAGGGAGCGAAGCTGCGTCTCGCTTTTAATAATCGCGATCAATGTAAAAAAAAAAAAAAAAATTAAAAAAAAATCATATTTTTTTTTTCACTTTTAATATTGGCGATCAATGTAAAAACTAAAAGAAATCACATTTCTTTTTTAAATTTTACGAAAGAAATTGGATAATGCAAAAGTTCTGCCAAGAGGTGCATCTAACCAGTAACCCTATAGCATTTTGTCTACAGCCTTTAACATTTAGGCTAGTCTACGTTCACCGGATACCTACCTTCTTACCGAATAGCTATTGCGCCGGCACGAAAATACTGGATAGGGTTTCTGTTCCCACATAAGAAGTGTGATTTCGGTGCGATTTCTGTGACGGAGCGAAGCTGGGCCTCGCTGATCTCTAGAGTGCAGAGTCACATATCGGATAGGTGTTCACATTATACCGTATAGCTTTTCGTAACGGCAAGAAAAACAATCGGTATAGTACATATATGAATATAGCCATGGAGTCACTGCGACAATCCTCTCGTCATAGAAACGTGGTCTGGGAGTGATTAACTATAGTTCGTCCATTAAAATTGTAAGTGTGAAGACGTACATCGAACTACTTCTGTACTGAGTTATCACCTTTTTTTAATCAGATAAAAACAATGCAGTCTTTACTGAAAAGGGGAAGGTTTTATTCCGCAAAAGAAAAGCCAAGTTATGGTTGTAAATGAAAGCTTTGAAGCAATACATGGAGCTGTTAATTATGCTGCATAAGGAGGTTCTATAATTTGAAGACTCTGAAATAAAATAAAATGTTGCAGGCCGCCTTCTTAGGCCCAAAACTAGGAATGGCGCATTTTTTTTTAAATTTCCACGAAAGTCATACAGAGATATGACGTCCATTTGTCTTTTCTTCTAAACGGGCGAGTGAAAAGTAAAACGCGTTTAATCCAGCCATTTCGTTAATTGTTGTGTCCACTTAATTTAAATCTTTTTGCAGTTAACGACCAATTTACATCTTAAAAATGGCGTTGGCAACAGCCCAACTAATTCATCGCCTTTCAACAAATGAAATAAAATACTGCAATTAAAACAAAGTTTACTGTTAAAAAAAACGTAGAAAAAAATAAAATGAAGAGACTATTATTATTTACATAGACAAAACTACTAGGCCAAAATTTAACCAGTTTATTGTACGAATTCAAGGCCCCCTATAGTATTTTAAATAGCGATTGAGAGGTCCTAATTTATTCCACTCACGCGTTGTGTACAAGTCTTAGCTGTACCGCCGACCAATTTGCAATTTTAAAACTGAAATCGAAACGCGCGTAGTCTGTAACCTGACTAATGTTTTTAAAATCGGCTTTTGTAGTAAATTGCCATGTTTCTGTCCATCATCCTTTTAAGGTCGTCGGAAATGTTAAGATCGAGAAAAACGACGCAATAAAACCGCACTGAAAAGGAAGAGCACGTGAACTGATCAGTTGTCTTTGTTTCCACATGCAAATACGCTTTTACTGAAGCAAACAATACAAACCTGAAAGGGTGGCTATGAGTTCGAACTTACAAGGTGTCAGCAGGTTCTAACCAATTTAGATAAATTCAATGTTGGCAAAAATTACGTCTCAATTTAAAAACAAAATTTATCAAGACAAAAGGGGTTGCTGTTTCGGAATATATAATTTTAAATAAATATTTCGCGGTAGTCTAATTTTTGTATCCACCAAAATTATAACTAAGAAGGGCTCCATTTGAAGATCACTGGAAGGTAGAATTGCAAATCATAGAAAGTAATCTAAAGTGAGTTTAAAAAGGCGTTAACAGAGCGGTTTATTTCGTTTGAGGCTTTTAGTGGTTGAAGAGACAATAAAGCGAGATGAATCATAGAAGCTTTGAAAACACGATCACGAGCAGATGTTCTTGAAAGAGAAAAAGTGCCGCATCTTTGAATCGGAAGGGATGAATTGCGCAAGCGCAATGCAAACAGCAATTACTATTTACCTTCTGCTGAAACTAACCAGAATTGAACATTCAAAATCTCCATTACTTTCGCTTGATCCTTAGGCTTGAAAATATGCAATGTCCCAAGGAATCGCCACCCGATCAGAACCTCCCGGCCGTTGTAGAGCTTAATGTCGGCGGACAGCTGTACACTACGTCGCTACCGACGCTTCTTAAAGATCCAGATTCGCTGCTAAGCGCGATGTTCAGCGGCAAACAGAAAATCCCTCGAGACTCTCGCGGTCGGTTCTTCATCGACCGCGACGGCATGCTATTCCGATACATACTGGACTATCTTCGTAACTCCAAGCTGTCGCTGCCGGAGAATTTCAACGAGAGAGAAAGACTGCTTGGAGAAGCTGAGTTTTTTAGATTGAAGGGAATTATTAAAGCTCTACAACGCGAGCAGGACCGTGTCAAAACGGGTCGCGGCGACATAAATAGCAAACCGTCCGGGTTTCTGTCCATCGGGGTTCGTGGGACGTACGCGTTTGGGCGTGATGGGGTAGCCGATGTGAAATTTCGCAAGTTGCAGCGAATCTTAGTCTGCGGTAACGTGGCGCTGGCGAGAGAAGTATTTGGCGAGTGGCTCAATGAGACGCGAGATCCAGACCGGGACGACGCAGTGCAAAGGTACACAAACCGATTTTACCTCAAGCACAACTATCTGGAAAAGGCCTTCGACCAGTTATACGAGAGAGGCTTCAAGCTTGTCACAAGCGCGGCCGGTGGGGCAGGTTACGACCCAGAAAGCGAGGAGACCAAATGGAATCACTTCAACGATTATGTGTTCTTTAGACAGTAATTATTCTATTCTAGTGCCTGTTGTTTGTACTTTTCATAACTAAAATCGATCATATGAAAGGCACCGGCTTGGTGGAATTTCTTTGTTACGCCGATGGCTAACTGACGATCGACGAAAGAAAAAAAAGGGAAAGAATGGTGGTTATGAACTTATGTTAAAACAAAAATTAGCAAGGAGGTGTCTTTAATGTTTACAAAGACTTTAATAATATGCGTTTTAGTTTTTTTTATGAAGAGTAAAATTACATTTCACTATCCTTTTTTTTGGACTTGGATCACAGTGGTTTTCTTGTACGTCACGAATTTGATTTATTTGCAATATTGGTCGCCTATAAACTTCACAGGAAATGTTTTCATTTTATTCATTATCAGTTTTGTGTTAAGGTTTAGCCGTATGGATTGACTACGAAATTCTTGACGTCGCGTAAATTACTTTTCCAACTGTCCAGGACAAACAAATGCACAATGAATAAGATTCTACTCAAGAACTATGGGATTTTTCATTATTACATTGTTTTGTGATGTTCGACTTCGCAAACTAGACATACGTCTTCATTATTTCGTCGCGTCTATGACAAGAGAGTTATGAAACCTTTAAAACAGTTAAAATACAGAACAGGAATCATAGATTGAACACTATAACCGGTAACAAAAAAAAAGGACAAGAAGTGAGAAAATTAAATTTCAATTATAAATAACAAAGCCATACAAATAAAATTTAAGGTCTCAAAAAGCATTGCCATTGATATTAGGGAAAAATCACGATGAAATAATTTAGGAATTACAAAATCTACAAATGGTTCTGCAATATGCAAATCAGTGTAAATAAGCCATCGTTTATAAAAAGTGTCGGTCTTTAACTACATGTCCTTTCGAAACTAAAAGGTTTTGTCTACAATCTTTCAACTCACGTAATAGTTTCTAAGCATGTTAAATATGATGCAAATGATTGACTTATTATTTTGTTCAAGGAAAAAAATGACGTAATTTACTTTACTTGAAATGGACTTCTTACGTTTAGCATGGAAACTGAAGGAAAAATAACAATACTTTCATTAGTTGCGACTTGCTAAATAGAGCGACATCAAAAAATGTGTTCGCAAAGGAAAAGATATTTAACGGACTTCAATGGATGCTGTATATTTCGCAGCACATTCTCTTTTAGTTCGCCAAAAATGAATAACGCGCTTTCTAAAGAGTAGCAACCCTTTACAAAAAAAATTTCTATAATGTATTCAGTCTGCCAAAATTGATTTAGTTTACAATTAAAGTGGACATAAGCAAGTTCTGCATCTAACTGATTTGAAATGCAAAAAAAAAAATAAACAAAACTTGATAAAGACAAAATCCTCTCAGTTATTATTTCTCCTTAATTATAGGCCTTAGGTTTTCCCTAGCCCTGCCGAAGAGGTTTAGGTTTTTTCCTGTTTAAATATATCATTAAATCAGAGGCACCCGACGATTTTTTTTCTGTAAAATAACTGTTCGAAGGAGTACATTCTACAGCTTGAGAAAGGCTTAAAGTTCTGGATATCCGTTCCATTCGTCGAAAATATTCGGAGTGTTTCTACACTAACTTACCCAAGAAGAGTTTCTTTTTTTACATGATGTTGGCAGGATATTGCCATTATAAAGTTACAAATCGTCTCCTATAGAGCCAAAACGTTCCCTAGAGTCTTTTAATGAAAGTATGTCCCTGAACTTTTGACCAGACCCATCACGGTAGCTAACAGTTTCGCGGAATGGGACAAAAAAGCCGCCTAAAACTTTCGAGATGATCAAAGTTCCCCTAAGACATCCGAACAGATAAATAGTTTTTACGGGAGCTCCAAATTAACCAAACAAGCAGACTTCTAAAATCTAGAGAAAGCCATTTGACGTATTTAGAAACATTCGGTAGTTGGGTGCCCCTGTTAAATGTATCGCGGTAATCATTTGTTGGATCTAATTGCAGTATAGTGTAGAATGAATTACTCATTGCCAGTTATCAACAATCAACCTAGATCCTGTTTCAAATGGGTAACCGGTGGTTTTCACAGCTTTAACGACGCAACTGGCAAACGAAGTAGCCCTCCACTATTAAGTTCAAACCATTATGAACACGGGGTTTCGATGGCAATTAAGATACACCTGGCTGCCATTTAACAGTTCTTTTCTAAGCAAACACTCCCCCGATACTGTGGAAACGAAAAGGAACTAAGGACAATTAGTCGAGGTTGGAAAATGATAAATCTAGTGAAGAGGCGATTGACGCAAGGAGGATAATTTAGCCAGCGGTCACAATGCCGTGGCGAAACCCCGCCATCATGAAAGAGAAGGCGACGCTCGTCGACTCCCTAAGGGGTGTAAATTGCATATCGTATAGTCTCGCTTGGATATTCATGACGCGAAGCTAATATTTTTAGCCATATGTAGGTATCGCCTAGTGTAGTGCGCAAAGAAATTAAAATGGAAAAGAAAACCAAATGCCATCATTCTGTGTCGAAGACAGCATTTAATTTCAACAACCTTCGCGCAATTTAAGGCACTATGGACCTAGTAGTCTGTTTTCGCCTTATCTCTTTCAGGGGTTAAAAAAAGCCTGAGCCAGGCCCATATTGGTCTCCTAGCTTTAGGGGTTTACCCCATAATTTTCATTTTCCAACAAGTATCCCGTCCGGCCCTTTCATAGGCGAGTTACCTTTCGGGTGGGTCACATTATCGACCTTAAAAACTACAAGCAGATCGTTGGAAGCATACAGTCAAAGCTTCCGTAAACTCCTACTTAGAAGCCAAGATTTAGTACAACTACAAGATTACGGGAGGTGCTCGCCTACGAGATACGAACCCCAGGGGTTTCGAGACACTTTGCCCTTTTAGGGTTTTTTCTGACGTTTTGCCGATTTAAAACAGGGCAATTTGCTCACCCCCGTCAACCATTTAGGAGCAATGTTGCCACGCAGATTGAGTTACACGAAGGAAAAATCTGACACTCGAACTTTGAATGGAGGAGTTAGGGGCATGGATTGTGGATTGTGTCTGTATCTGAAGTTACCGCATTTGAGGACAGAGTCTCAAGAATTTGTCACCTGATGGTGAATCAACGCTCAAACAGTGTTGAAGAATACATTGCTAATCGATGCAATAAAATACAGTGCGAAACAGTACAATGGAATGCCGATACAATACAACTTTACAAGGCAATGCAATGCAATACAATTACAATGCAATGCAGCGCAATACAATAACCTTTACCTAAACTCGGCAAGTTGTGAAAATAAAAAATACCTGCAAATTTCTTGCTTCCTTTTAGAGACTTTTTCCGTTCCTCTGACAAGGTTGCCCAAGTTTGCTTGGCTATGTGATCTTGCCACAGACAATTTTTGCAGAAGTTTCACTGCAGATTGAAAAATACCAGGAAAATCAGGCAATTCAACCAGAATAGCGCTTGAACGGTTTTTAAGCCACAAACGTTTTGAAAGCATTCACTTACTTGTTACATATTTGTTGCAAAACTGCTGTGCAATACCCTTGTTAAATTTCTGGATTATCCTACGAGGTTCATCTTCTCTGGTAACTCGTTTTAATTCAGGGAAGGGAAATCATTCAAATATACGAAAACAATTTGTGTTGCAAAAAGAACAAACAAAGAAAAAAACAAAACAAAGCAAAACAAAAACAGTAATAATAGTAATAATAATAATAATAATAATAATAATAATGATAATAATAATGACAATGATAATGTTAATGATGATGATGTTGATAATGATAATGATGCCGCCATTACGGAAAGCTTGTTTTTCGGAACAGCAAGAATTATGAGAAAGGTGATGGATAGATGACAGAAGGTCACCTGGTACAAGGAAATGAACTGGTTCGAAGACCATGAAGACAGTGTGAACTGACAAGAATAATACTGATAATAGTTTGCGACTCTCCTGAGAGCCTGAAAGATGAGACCGACTACCTAAAAAATGTTTTTGATAAAAATAACAACAACACGGACCTTGTTAGACAGAACACTCACAGTAATGCCGATTCCAACAATCATACCAAAGTTAACTCTTATAAGGACCTTAGGATTCAAAATTAAATCACACCATTCCTCGTAAGATGAGTTTGGGCTGGGCTGCCAGTGTTCATAGAGACACATTGCCAACCTACAGTTTATCACTGGTAAGATACGCCAACTGTTAATTTCTTCAAAAAGACAATGTGATAACTGCAGAATTTTTTTTTAGATGCTATAAAGCGAGAAGAATATATGTGAGCATGGTGAACAAGTGGGTAAACAAACAGAGATTGAACATTTTTGAGAAATTGCTTTATTTCATCTTGAGTCAAATTCAACTTATTTCAATGTTTCAAATCCGTAGACACACTCGAAGCCTATATTCAGCTCACCATTTGGGCAAGCCGTAAATTGCATGCGCTAGTCCAAGAGTCATTTCAACTAGCCTTGAATTTTTGTTTTCATGAGCAGGATTGATTATGGTTCTTCTGTAACTTGAATTCCTCAGAAAACTTGATAACTTGCCCATTAAGGCAAGTTAAGAACAGAATTCAGAAGCCCAATAGCAATATCCACTAGCCAAGAGCTGTCAGACATGCCTTTCAATCCATGCTGAAAGTGCAAAATGCTAATAAGCCTGGAGTTCTGTGGGGCCAGCTCAAAATCAAGTAACACTGTTATTAAATGAATATAAAAATTAAACAAACTTTTCTTTTCAATTGCACACATTACAGGAAAAGCATTAGAATCTAACAGGTCATTCCAGCCACTATCCCCAGGGTAAATTAAATGGTTATTTTTTCACTCTGTCCACTCATAGCAGAAGCAATGATAATTATGATGGAGTACAATCTACAACTTCTCACATCACTGAAATCCTGTTGCTATCAACATGTATATCTCACACGGCTTCTTGCTGCTTATTCACTAAGTAATAAAATAAAATTATATATGTTTGTGTTTTGCTTTCAGGGTTAAAGTCTTCCTACAAGTAATCAATTTAAGTCTGCGCCATGCTTTCTTTTGGTTTGTACACAATGTGTGCTATTGGCTTAACAATGGAAATTTATTGAATAAGAACTATTACTGCCATGCTTCAAATTAATTTTCATTTTCCTTGGTTTGAATGTTAATAAATTGAGATTAAAATTGAATTAAATCATACAGTCAAAGCTCATTAATAAGGACCGTGCGCGCGTCACGTGAGGGACCATAGAAATTGTAAGTTTTAATGGGTTGTCCATATTAAGCAGGTTAAATTTATTTAAGATAAATGCAGGATATTACATGGCTGCACGGAGATATGAAATTTCTCTTCGAGTGTTGAAAAATATTTCACTCGTTCGCTGCGCTCACTCGTGAAATATTTGCAACACAAGAAGAAAAATTTTGTATCTCCAAGCGGACATGTAATGTTCTATTTATTGTATAAACACCAATGAAATACCAAACCATTTCGCTGAAACAGTTTTTTCCTGCGAAAGGTGCAATTTATTATGTAGCCATAGCAATGGTGATACTTTCACATGTGAAAATAACATGTTATTTTCATGTGTGAAGATATCATGTTTTCGCGTGAAAGCTCACCTGGTATTTCATTGTGTTTATATAATAAAATGTTTCCTCTAAGGCTTTCTTTCCCCAGGGACAAAGCAAATTGTCCATAATAATGAGGTGTCCATATTAAGCGGGCATCCATAAAACAGGGTTTGACTGTACCAATATTGCAATTGTGACTCGTGAGAGATACTCTCAGCACTCAAAGATAAAATTCGTATCCCCAAGCCGCCATGTAATGCTCTCTTTATTTTATAGCTACTGATGAAATTCCTACATAAAACACAACTTTTTTTATATTCATTTTCGAAACAGCAAGTGCAAAGTGGTCACCTATCACAAAATGCCTTGTCACAAAAATGTTAAAGTTATAAAGGAGAAATAAAGACAATAATTGGCTAATTATGTTAGTAACCATGGCGACACCAATATCGTCACACGTGAAAGATAAATATAGTATCTTCACTGCGCACAATAAAGATATGATTTTTTAGCAAAAAGAAAAATCCTGGTATTTCATCAGTATCTACATAATAAATTAAATTAATCATCCCCAGCAGAAGTCAAACACTAACGACAGATGATCAGAAGGATACTGAAAGCATGGCAGACGTTCAGCAGGAACATCACCACCGTCTGGAACCTTTAAACATCCTGTTACACTAAGGTCTGGGGAGTGCCATACATAGTCTATAGTATGTTTGACCTCTTTATCAGGACGAAACTTCCATGTTGTGAATTCAGGATTGGCACCTGTTGCACTTATGTATGAATTTTTCAGGCAAAGGTATTGATTTGTTTCCATCAGTTGACAAACTCGTTCAGTTGGCTCAGCATTAAAGTCTCCAAAAACTAATACTGACTTATCGTCGGAGGTTGATTCTGAAACACATTCCAGAAGCTGCAATCCCTGGCAGTGTCGTAATTCTTCAAACTCTTGTTTAGCTTTAAGATGAGTAACAACACAGCAAAGAGTTTTCTCATGTACTTTATCAAATAAATTCACAATTAATGCAACTTGATTTGCCAAAAGCCCATTACTATCCTTCAACGTTACATCCTTACGATTCACCAGAGCGAAGCGCTCTATATCATAAAACATAGCACAGCCATCAGGGCCTGAATTGTTAGGAAACTTGAGGCAGGGAGAGTCTTTTTTGGCTACAAATAGTCCATCATATCCAACTTTTCTGAGTGAAGGAAGGTAATAGTCTTCAAAATGGTCAACTTCTTGTAATGCTATGATGTCTGGATCATACAATAAAATTTGCTCAAGTGATCGTAGTTTCCTCATTGACCACTTAAGTGCTCCTGATGGGCATTTGACAAAATTCTGAGTTGGGCTTGAAGCACTTAAAGCTAACAAAAAAATAAGAAAGAAAAGAAAGAAATATTCAGCACCTCAGTTGAACTTCACAGAAATTCAACAAAGAGGATGCTCACTGAGACACTAGGGAGCTTAAGCAACAGCATTTTAGAGAGACAGACGTCAACCGGAAGTGGAATTTTTGCATCATTGGACAGTGGTTTGGTTGAAACTCTTGGGTAAATCGCCTTCACAAAAGGAATACAAATTATTTTGTTAGCGTCAAGGCATATAAAATGGGAGAAGGCCTCACTTCTGGTTGACGTGCATCGCTCAAAAATGTCTTTGCTCAAGCTCACTATTAATGAGAGGCAAAGGGGTGGGGTAAAGGAAAATAAGGTAGAATTTTTACACCATTAACTAAATTTAAAGAAAAGTCAATCTCCAAAAACTCTGCACTGTCTTTTGTGTTAGAAAATCTGAAAAGACAAAAACAAGACCTGACACTCTGTGAAACCCAGCCTTTGATGAACTGTAGATTGGTGTACTACAGCTGATCTTGAAATAACTTGAAGGACATTCCATTTTTTACCCTCACCCCCTCCTCCCCCCACCCTCAAGGATGACGGGTTTTTGAATGGGGGCGGGGGGTTGAGGTCACTTTTTTCACAAAAGCTGACACAATTTGGAACCTAAACCTGTCAACTCTCACACTTTTTGTGTGAGTCTCCACCTACTGAACAAAGACATCAATCTCATGCATCAAGAACAACTTCCAATGCCTGACTCACAAATCCGGATGAATTATTCTAATGAGAATTCAATTCAGTTTTCACAAAAACATTCCAAAAAAGGTGCTGAATGATGACTTTGTGTCCTAACGAAATCAAAACATGTTAAAATTGTTGTCTTTTAAATAGCTTTGAAAATGCTCAAACTTCAGACATTTTCGGCAACGTTTGGAAGCCTTCGGAAAATCGCCAGAAATCTTCGGAAGTCGCTGGGACGTTTTCTGCAATCCAGGTAATCTCAGAAAAGGTAGCAGATATAGGAACCTTCTGACTATTTATTCAGAATTTCCGATAAACAATTAACTTCTCAGATTTCAAAAATTTGAGGATTCAGATTCAAGCCTATAGGTGGTTTCCATGCAATCTCGGGAGACACAAATAACAATGGTGAAATGAACAAATGCTGGTGGACAAACAAAGCGAGCTAATGAGCGATCTTTTGTTTACCGTCCACCAGCATGGAAGGTCCTTTCAAGTAGAGGTGGAAATTTCTGAAGAGCTCTCTCAAGGTCATTTAGGGCTTCTTTTCGTGCCTTAAGTTGACAAGAACCAGCCTCCACCGCCGCCATGTTGTTTACGGGATACACTATAGTATTCAAATTTGAAGCATCTAATACCCCTCAGCAGAGACCGCTGACTGCCAACGGGCGTTCGTCGATTCAGAGCGAAATACTTCCACTCTCTTTCACATTTAGTAGTGTGCCGTCACTGTTCAGAACCCTTGCTCAAACACGCTTCTTGCATACAGATTCGGTTCTACATACTTCCTACTACATATGCTTACATAATTCATAATGCCCTCTGAGACATCGAAGGGATCCTGTTGTTGTAGTAGGACAATCTGGATCATTTGTCTTGCTGTTTGTGGAGTAGTGTTCCTAGTTTCCGGTTTAGTCTTCAGTGTCGGTGGAGTCTTCTCTAACATCATCAATCAACAAGTGGATAAGGTAAATACCGTTAAAACAGGTTGTAATCAAAAGTATGTTAGTACTGAACTTTTCAGTGTACATTACCCCCATTACCCTGCGAGCAGAGGCCCTTCGATCTTCCTAGATAAGTCGGAAAGAGAAAGGGACTTTATGTCTAGGAAGATCGAAGGGCCTCTGCTGGCAGGGTATAGCCATCAAATCATCAATATTAGGGTAGGTAAAGGGGTGGGAGGTGGGTATTATATGGAGGTATTATGGTATTATTGTTGGCATGTCTGTTACAGGGGGCGGGGGAGGGGTACTTAAGGAATTTTTGGGTGGGGGTCTATCCGTATATATAAATAAAAAACTCGCTAAAGGAGTCACCGACATTTTGTCTTAAAACAAAAACATAATATGGTGTAAACTTGATAAAACTTACTTCAACTTTCAAAAGGATATACAGTTGTCTCCCGATAACTCGAACCCTCACTAACTCGAATTGATTTCCCCTGGATTTCCATCATATATTACCCTCGGTAACTTGAACCCTCGATAACTCGAACCTCGCGCTAACTTGAAGTAGTTGTTGTTTCCCCTCCGATCATTTCTATATAATTTTACCCTCGATAACTCTAACCATGTTTTGAGCCCTTAAAAAGTCGGCAAAATACAGTCTACTGGCGTCCGAAGCATTGAATTTTGAATTTCCAATTGACGTGTTTTAGGCAGATAGTTTACTAGTGGAGGCTGATGTTGTTTGTCACAATCCAACGTGAAACAGCACTACTTCTCAAAACAGTGAGATGCATGCTCTATTTAGGCTATGTTATGTTGCGTTACATTCTTATTTATGATCTTGAAGTATCTTTTAATTTTCACTCAGACATTTCTACGGGATTGAATGCATTTAAAATGTTCACTGTGCAGTAAAAATTGTCATTTTCCTTACTCCAGGCTATTTTCTTCGAGCTCCCGATAACTCGAACTCCCGATAACTCAAACTGTTTTCGATTTCCCTTGAAGGTTCCAGTTATCGGGAGTCGACCATATACCTAGGAACAGTTTATTTATGCCCACCGAACTATGAAATAAATGGCAGGCATGATTTAATTGGGGAAAATATAGTTAGAAATTTTTGTTGTTTGTAATTTTAGTTATTTGGAAATATAGTTGATAATACTATTTATTGTGTAAGACCTCAAATAAAAACATGTATAACATGTGTAACTAAAAATACAAACAACCAAAATTCCTGACCATATATGGCTATAAATAAATTATTAATAAATTAAGTCCTAGAGTATTTACTTTTTTGCCGTCTTCCTCTTTTCTTTTTTCCAAGCATTCAAATAGATTACATGTTTTGCCATAGAGGGGGGTGTAAGGGTTTGCAGTGATGCGGTTTTGCTCAATTTTTGGTGCGGTTTTGCAGTGATTTTTATTTTAAGTTGCGATATTGTGGTTTTACAAAACTAGGCGGTTTGCGGTATTTAGAAATTTTCAGGTAATTTCAACGCGGTTTGCGGTTTTCTTATGTTATTCTGTCCGGTATTTATACGTATTTCTGTGCGCTTTTGCGGTATTCGTACCCCCCTTATGCCCCCCCTCCCATTAGTTTTTGTATTTGAGGATTTCTGCTAGGCGGCTTTATTGGAAACATCATACGTGAATATTTTGTTAGAACCCTGCTTTATAAATATAGGGGGCACGTTATGCACTTTACATCCAGGAGCCTTAAAACATGAAAAAAATGGATTACAGCAAAAAAAAAAGTGGACAAAAAATGGACAGCCTTGTAAAGCAAGAGACGGGTAGCCCTGGGAATGAGGTTTGAGCAAATATAATATATAATTGTATAGGTATTATGTGAACTAAAGTAACCTTTTACTTCATATTGATAGCTGCTAATATTTATTCATTGTTTTAGAATGTGGAATTAAAACCTGGCAGTTTTGTGTATGAAGAATGGAAAAACTTCTCAACTCCTATTTACATGAAGTACTATGTGTTTAATGTTACAAATCATGATGAAGTAATGAATGGAGCTATTCCCAATGTAACACAGATAGGACCCTACTCTTACAGGTAATGAAAAAGGAAATGAAGACATAGACAGTATTATATCGCAATGATTAACTTAAATTAACTTCCATATATATATAGAACGTGCATTCTGCCAACTTTTTTAATTTTTATAGATGTGACATTTTTATCCTGAAAGTGCCGGGGTTCAAAATGAGACAGTTAATGCTGCAATAGCTCGAACATTTTTACCAGGCATAAGAAATAAAATTGGAACACAGGCCTGAGTAGGCGTGAGATCATAGTTTTCAACCCGCAGGCATAACACTTGGCAAGTATAATGCATGGGTGCCTGGATCAGGAAAAGCATCAATGCAGGTGACTTTGGTTATCAATGCACTTTCCCTTTAATGTGCCATAAGTTTGCTTATGCAACAAATTAGGAAGAAATGCAATTACATGTAAATGTAAGATAATATACCTGCCAACTCGCACACCACATGCATGTGTGAATTTCATGCCATCAAGGATTTTGACTCCCTTAGCCAGGCAATCAGACAATCCATGAATCTGATTATTTTTAAACGTAATCTTTTTAAATTTGTAATTTAAATAAATATAAGTCAATATCTTGTACATTTTAATAGTTGTGTGTATTTTGTGTTTTGTATTTTTTTTAAATTTTTTGAGATCTTTTTTGAAAACCATATTTTATATGAAAAAGTCATCTCAATGAAGATTATTTTATTATTATGTGTCATACGTCCAGAGTTGTCAGAAAGTTTTGAAGTAGACGACTGAGTTGTCAAAGTAAGCGGCTGCTCCAGGGATATTTTTTTTAAAAAAATGCCATCCATAAAGAAATGCCAAGCACAGCTAGTAGCCGGCCGATACTAATCAAGTAGGCGGTGATTTTTGCCGGCGGCCGGCTACGTTTGACAACCCTTCACGCCTGTGGATCAAAAATACTGGTCATACCCATACAGGACAATTTACATTGTTCAGTCATAACTCACTATTCTGGACTACAGTATTAATGGTCCTTGACCATTAACTTGAAAAATGACCAAATTGAGAGTATCACACCAACAAGACTAGACTACGAGTAGTCCCCCATTTTTCCTCAGGGATAGTAGAGCGAGCGAAATTCGAATGTGCATGAAAATCACCCCACACGAGAAAAGGCGACACACCCCGCTGCGTGTTGCCTTTTCTTGTGTGGGGTGATTTTCCCGTGTGCTCGCGTTTCGCTTGCTCTACTATCCCTAAGGAAAAATGGGGGACTACTATTAGTCTACAATAAGACATGCCTGATCTCAGCAAGACCTCATGATAGCTTGCATCAGTAAATCTTTGTCATAAATATATGTGCATGGTGTAAATGGCAAGGTGGTGCCAAGAATTGGGACTTAGCAAGGTCTTTGGGATTTTCTAGAAAAATGTTCCGAAGCCATCAAAACGTCTTCAGCACCACTTGCCTCTCACCAGTAATGGCTTGGGTTCGAATTCTGTCATTGACGACGTATGTGGGTTAAGTTTGTTGTTCGTTCTCTCCCTTACTCTGATCAGAGGGTATTTTTTTCAGGCACTAGCTCCTGTTTTTCCCTCTGCTTATTAAAAACCAACTAATGTTAGATGGAAACATGTGTTATTAAGAACTACAATGTAGAAGTTTGTAACCCTTTTCATGGGAAAATTTGCACTGAAAATCATTAAGCAACAATAATATTAAAAGAGCAAAAAAGCAGCAGCAATATAGCATTTAATATGCATGGACATTTTACGAAGAAGGTATTGATCCACTGAAGTTGTAGTTACGATGCAAATGTGATATTATATTGACCTTTTCTTTTTCAGAGAATTGAGGTTCAATGAGGTACTCAACTGGAGCAGTGACCACAGCATTGTAACATTCATGCCAAACAGAACATACATTTTTGATCCAGAAACATCATGTGATGGCTGTGATGACAAGAATGACTCATTTTTTACTGTCAACATTCTACTATTGGTACATAGTCAATGTAACTCTTTGTTTCCAATTTTCATGTTACTCTCTTTGTCATGCATATCAAGACACTAAATAAATTTAGAGGATAATGCTGAAAAATTTATATACGTTATAAAATTAATTTTTAATACCTACAATGTATAAGCAATACAATCATGCCATCATTTGTATCTAATTGTTAAACATCGTCAATAAGCAATATTCGAATGGTGGGTGCAGCGACTCTATATGTGCAGTGTTCTTACCAGACCACAGCATTGTGGCGTTGCCGCACTTTTTAGGGAAATGCCACACTATATTCCACACTATAGGTTTTAAATATTAGCCCAAGGGGTCCATCACAAAACGTATGTAAACATAGATACATAATTATCTATACTTAGTTACATTTCCTAAAAATAGAATTAATTGATTATGGCGTCTTTAGAATACACCCATCATTATCTTAGAAAGTACGAGGTATTTACTCAACTCAGACCCGTCCTGTAAAAACGTTGAGTTAACTGTATCTAAAAATTGTGAGCCGCTTTTCTCCCTCGTGACCCTCTTTTAGCGTCTCTATCAATATGGGTCCTGTGGACCCCAGTCTAGAAAATATTGGTACATGTAAGAACAAACAATAAAC